TTTGGATTCTTTTTTCTTTTTGCTGTTCTGATTGGATGTTTTTTGCTTTCTTATATTCCAAATCGATGGTTTGCTTCTTGGCTTTACCTACTCTACTATTGAATCTGTGTACATTATTCTTTATTTCAGTTAGTGCATCCTTCATTTCTGACTGGTCCTTTTTTATGCTCTTGAGGCCCTCACTAAGTTCGCTGAAGTTCTCACTAAGTTCATTGAGCATCCTTATAAGCAGTATTTTGAACTCAGCATCAGTTAGGTTGCTTATCTCCATTTCACTTTGTTCTTTTCCTGGGGTTTTGTTCTGTTTTTTCATTTGGGACCTGTTTCTTTGTCTCCTCATTCTGGCTGTCTCCCTGTGTTTGTTTCTATGTATTACTTAACGAGAGGTATGGGGCTAGCTGAGACCAGATGCTGCTCATTTGAAAGAATATAGGAAAACCTGAAGCGGGATCCAAGACAGGCCAATCCTATGGTTAAACAACTGACAACAGCTTGGGTGGGCCTGAAAGTTGGGTGGGGCGGGGCCTCAGGGAATCACCAGGGTGGGGCAACCAGTGTGAGCCAGGTTTCTGGAGTCCCAGATATGGTGGCTGTCTGCCGCCCCAGGGAAGGGCTCATCAAAGGAACAAAGGCCTCTGACAGCAGTTTGTCCAGGAGAAAGCCCCCTCTCCAGCCCTTGCTCCACTGCCAAACAGCTCAGTTCTTCCCTGTATGTCTCTGGTGCCCCTCAGGTTGCCTCCCCTCCAAGCTTAGAGGGAGTGAGTCCGATAAGTCCATGCGCGGGCCCTTTAAGAGGAGCTGCCTGGGGCTCCAGCCGCCTCTGCCTCCCTGAGCCTCAGTTCCCGCTGGTTTTTCCAGCCTGAAGTTATGGGGACTTCTCTTCCTGGCACTGAAACCCTGAGTGGGGCTCCTGGTGTGGGATGGGGACCCTTCAGTCCTAACGGAGGACCTTCCCAGCCGAGGTGTCCTCCTGATTTTTATCTGCCACACGTGGGTGTGGGACCAGCCCGTCGCACCTCCGCCGTCCTGCCGGTCTCGATGTGGCTGCTGCTTTAATTTTGTAGTTGTAGGACTTCCATTCGGCTTGATTTCAGGCGGTTCTGAATGATGGTTGTTCCGTAGTTTAGTTGTAACTTTGATGTGGTTGTGGGAGGACGCGATACCACGTTTACGCCGCCATCTTGACCGGAAGTCCTCTTGGTGCATGGGTTGATTGATGCTCAACCACTGAGCCACACCAGCTGGGCTTTGTATTTGTATTTTAAACATTGTAACTCTTAGAAGACATTATACATATAGGTTGCATATGTATAATTACATACATATCTGTTGGCCAGCAGTGTTCTAGAATAATTTTTAAATCATTTTGTCAAGTTTCTAAGAAAATACTCCATTGGGCTGTATTATATTTATAAGTTAATTTTGGAGGGAAAGTATCCATCTTTATGTCAAATACTCCTGCCAGAAGCATGATATGTGTTTTCATTTAGACATGTTTTTGTTATTATTAAAGTCTTATGGTTTTCTTCTATTTTTGGTCCCACTCCAGCCCCACCCCCCACCCCCGGTATTGGGCACTGTTGTTGGTTGTAACTGGTCATTGAGAGCCTTCACTTACTAGATCTTGATTCTAACAGACTTTTTCAAGTGATTATCTTAGGTTTTCTGTGTCAATAATTATGTCTGCCTTGAATCGTTTTTTTTTGTTTTTTGCTTCTTTTTTAATGGCTGTATGCCCTAATTTTCTCTTTGTCTTGCTTTGGCTGGAACTTCTAGAACAATGTTAAGTAAGAGAAGTGATGGGCAGACAACCTTATATCCTCCCAAGCAATAATGGGAATGCCTTCACAAAAGTGTGTTTGCACCAGGGAACACTAATTCTTTGGAATATTAATATCTGTACCTTGAGAGAACAGTTTCACACTTAAATGAGTTTGCAAACTACTGAGTTAAATGGATTTTTTGTCTGCAGGACTTTTCATATGGGTTATTATGCTAATATGTTTTTAATCCCTAAGAGGGTAGGGTTACTGAGGCTAGCTCATGGGCTTGCTCTACTGAATACATTGTGGGAAATACAGGTATAATGTTTTCTTTTTAAGGATGATGTTGCCATTGGTTTACAGTAGATACTGTTATTATATTATTTTTCTATTCCTAGTTTATTGAGTTGTTTTTGTCCTCTCCATATTTAGAAGGGCCTTTCTTTAGCTTTCTCACATGCATTTTGGCACTGTATTGATTGGGCCATGTGATTTTTCTCCTTTCACTTATTGATGTTCCAGATTATATTTGTATATTTCCTAACATACAGTTATCCTTACATTTGGTCATACTATGTATTCTTTAATAGGTTATGTTTGCTAATATTTCCTCTAGGACTTTCAAATCTGCTTACTTAGACAGTTTTCTTTTTTATGCTGTTTGCCATCTTCTAGTATCAGATTTATACCATACAAACCAAAATGCTTTATTTATTTTTTTTATCCTCACCCGAGGACATTTTCCCATTTTTTGTTCAGGGAGAGAGGAACAGAGAGAGAGAGAGAAACATCGACGCGAAAGGAACACATCGAGTGGCTGCCACCCGACGACCGACCAGAGCCAGGGACAAACTGCAACCGAGGTACATGCCCTTAGCGGGAACTGAACCCGGATCTCTCAGGACCGCAGGCCGACGCTCTAACCGCTGAGCCAAACCGGCCAGGGCTCAAAATGCTTTAAATGTTTTAACGTGCATCTAGAACAGTGTGAATGGCCTGAAGATCATTTGTGCTTTGGTACTTCTTTTTAATTTAATTTTGCCAGTTTATGTTCATTCTGTACAGATTTCAATAATAAATCTAGAATAAATAAGAGCACACTATTCCTCTTTAATAACTAAAATGTTTGAACTAAAATTTTGACATAAAAAAAATTCTGATGTGATCTCATCACACTAACCAATTGATTCTTTTCTGCAAGGGTCTTAGGTTTAGTTGCACATTGTCTTGTCTTATAATTACAGATTTTTTCTCTGTGATTATATGCTATTCTATATTAATTGCTTTGCTTTTTTTTTGTTAGTCATCACTCAAGAATATTTTTTCCATTGATTTTTGTTGTTGTTAAGAGAGAGTGGAAGAGAAGGAGAGAGGTGTGGGGGAGACAAAGAAAGAAACATCAATGTGCGAAAACATATTGATTGGTTGCCTCCCACACGTGCCCAACCAGGGCTGGAACTCGAACCTGCAACCCAGGTACGTGCCCTTGACTGGGAATCGAACCCGTGACCCTTTGGTGTGCAGGCTGACACTCTAACCACTGAACCACACCAGCCAGGGCTATTAGTTACTTTTTTGCTTTCTTTGGGTTTATTCCTTTTCTAACTTAATGAGTAATCTTATTAATATTTATTCTTTATTGTTTAATAATAAAAATTTTAAGGCACTGATTCTCCTTGTTAAATTTTGTTGTTTCAAAATCTTTAACATTTTATTATGAAAAATTTCAAACACAGAAAAGTTGAATTTTACAGTAAACACCTGTATACCCACCATCTAGACAAGTGTAGACTTGTAAACATTTCAGTCTGTTTACTTTATCGCATATCTATTCATCTCTTTGTTTTCGACACATTCCAGGTAAGTTGAAAACATAGTAAACTTGACTCCTAAACCCTTCTTGAAGTGGCCTCCTTAGTGTAGTAGGCAGCGCGTCGGTCTCATGCACACTTCTTACTAAAGATCCGATGTGAGGTTTTAAATTTTCTAAATAGTTTTCTTCCTTTTAGATTTTGTTTTTGATTCAGTACTCATCCAGGAGGTGTTTACATTTCTTTTGGTTGGGTTTTGAAAACTCAAATACTGTTAGATCCAATTTTATTATGTCTGGCCAGAGAATGCAGCCTGGGCTATATACACTGCTGTAGTGTGGAGTGACTCACTGCTGCGGATTCTAGGCAAGAGGCAGCCAGCCTGTAAGAGGTGTGCGGGTGCGGTGAGCACTAGTGGAGGACCTTACGGTTATGAGGTGTGGCACTCCTTTTGCTCCTACTGTCTAAAAAAACCCTTTGCGACATTTGTTTCTGTCCAAAACACCCATGGAGGCATTTGGTGTATGCCAAAATGTCCTTGAAATTTGGTGCTATCAGAAAATGTCCATGAGCGCCCTAGCTGGTTTTGCTCAGTGGTTAGAGCATTGGCCGGCAGTCCAGAGAGACCTGGGTCCAGTTCCTGCTAAGGGCACGTATCTCGGTTGTAATCTGTCCTCGTCCTGGTTGGGTTGTGTGGGTGGCAGCCACTCGATGTGTCCCTTTCATGTCGATGTTTCTCTCTCCCTCCCTCCCACTCTATCTGAACAAGAAATGGAAAAAATGTCCATGAGCATATTTGGTCCATGCCAAATGGTCAAGGACCAAATGTCTCCAAGGATGTGTTAGGACCAAATGTCCACTAATCCTAAAAACTTCGCTGAAAGGGACTGAGCATTGCTCTACAACTTACCAACTCAAAAAGATATAAAGGTGTGCAGAGCTGAAGGGGGAAATGCACATCAAGACAACATCTCATATTCTAAAGTAAAAAGGGTTCAGCTCCATTGTTTCCTGTATATTGAAAATATACAAATAAGGCAGAACATTCTTTAGATGAATTTACTTATATTTTACAAAGCAAAAGTCCTCAAAACTAGGTGAAACAGAAATATTTTTCATAAAATGATACCAAATGCTCAACCAGAGCTGAAATGGCCCTACTATGTATGACATGTTTTAATTTGGATCAAGATGAAAGTTAGGCAATTAGGACACTAGGCTAATCAATCATTTGGTTATTTGACTTTAGGTGAATTAACCAAGACATGAAAAACTGGTAATAAATAAGAGGAAGAATGCTCAGGCAGACCCTAGGAGGTATAGTAGGTACAATGGTGGAGGGGGGGTTATTTTGCCAGCTTGTGCTTCTGTTGCTTGTACTTAGTGAGGAGTCATTGATGAATTGTGAAACTCTTTCTTTCTGCAGATTACACTTCATGTCAGTAGAAATGGACAGCAGCAGTTTTATTCAGTTTGATGTGCCCGAGTACAGCAGCACCGTTCTGAGCCAGCTAAATGAACTCCGCCTACAAGGGAAACTATGTGACATCATTGTCCACATTCAGGGTCAGCCATTCCGAGCCCACAAAGCAGTCCTTGCTGCCAGCTCCCCATATTTCCGGGACCATTCAGCATTAAGTACCATGAGTGGCTTGTCAATATCAGTGATTAAAAATCCCAATGTGTTTGAACAGTTGCTTTCGTTTTGTTACACTGGAAGAATGTCCTTGCAGCTGAAGGATGTTGTCAGTTTTCTGACAGCAGCCAGCTTTCTTCAGATGCAGTGTGTCATCGACAAGTGCACACAGATCCTAGAGAGCATCCATTCAAAAATCAGTGTTGGAGATGTTGACTCTGTTACCGTTGGTGCTGAAGAGACTCCAGAGAGTCGAAATGGAGTTAAAGACGGCAGTTTCTTTGCCAACCCAGTCGAGATCTCGCCCCCTTATTGCCCTCAGGTACGGCAGCCCACCACAAGCAGTGATCTGCGGATGGAGACGACGCCCAGCAAAGCTTTGCGCAGCCGCCTCCAGGAGGAAGGGCACTCGGACCGAGGGAGCAGTGGGAGCGTTTCTGAGTACGAGATTCAGATAGAGGGGGACCATGATCAAGGGGACCTGTTGGTGAGGGAGAGCCAGATCACTGAGGTGAAGGTGAAGATGGAGAAGTCTGACCGGCCCAGCTGTTCTGACAGCTCCTCTCTGGGAGACGATGGCTACCACACTGAGATGGTTGACGGGGAACAAGTTGTTGCAGTAAATGTGGGTTCCTATGGTTCTGTGCTCCAGCATGCATATTCCTATTCCCAGGCAGCCTCACAGCCAGCCAGTGTATCAGAAGCTTTTGGAAGTTTGAGTAATTCTAGCCCATCCAGGTCCATGCTGAGCTATTTCCGTGGAGGGCGTGCCCGCCAAAAGCGGGCTTTGTCTGTCCATCTGCACAGTGATCTACAGGGCTTGGTGCAGGGTTCAGACAGCGAAGCTGTGATGAATAACCCCGGGTATGAGAGCAGCCCCCGGGAGAGGAGTGCAAGAGGTCACTGGTACCCGTACAATGAGAGGTTGATCTGTATTTACTGTGGAAAGTCCTTCAACCAGAAAGGAAGCCTTGACAGGCATATGCGACTCCATATGGGAATCACCCCCTTTGTGTGCAAGTTCTGTGGGAAGAAGTACACACGTAAGGACCAGCTGGAGTACCACATCCGGGGCCATACTGATGATAAACCATTCCGTTGTGAGATCTGCGGGAAGTGCTTTCCATTCCAAGGTACCCTCAACCAGCACCTGCGGAAAAACCACCCAGGTGTAGCAGAAGTCAGGAGTCGTATTGAGTCCCCCGAGAGAACAGATGTGTATGTGGAACAGAAACTAGAAAATGATGCATCGGCCTCCGAGATGGCCCTAGATTCCCGGATGGAAATTCATACAGTGTCTGATGCTCCTGATTAAGATGGTAAAGAAATGCACCCAAACAAAGCACATTAATCAATGCATATTTGTGATTTGCTTTGTTGTAATCTTTAGTTTTCCCAACCATCTGGAAATCTCTTGGCAGTTTTTCTAAGGTTTCTGGAAGGGACACTTCATTGTGTTTATCCTCCCCCCCCTTCTCCTTCCCCCAAGGAGCTCAAAGCATGAAGGGCATCGTATCCAGGGAAAACACAGGCTGACAGTATTCCTCTTTGGCTGAACTTTTAATCCAAAATCTGCCAGTGATTTAGCTATGCCAACTGGTTGACCCTGTATTTTCTGCCAAGAGGCATACTCTCACTGGGGCCGTTGCGCACTGGCCCCGGTGCATCTCCATTGAGAGACTAGGGTGCCGTCAGCTGATATAAATGGGTAACCTTTTCTAATTTAAAATTACTTTTACGGAGTAGTTAGACGATTTATATATATATAATAAAGTGATTATTATATATATAGTATATATACATTCTCAAATTTGGTTTTATTCTGGTTGAGGTGAATGTAAGAGGAATATATAATTTAATACAATGTGAACAGGGCTTTTGACTCTGTCCCATCCCTACCTAATATGTTAGGGTTTTGCCCTTTTATTTCCCTTACAAAAGAATGTTAATAGGTTTTCATATATATTAACCATTGTGTCCAAAAGCAAGCAAAGCAAATCACAGTGTTCATAGCTCTGCTTCATAACAAATACATAAACCAAATGCCATAAAATGTATTCAACTCTAGTTGGAAACCATTTGGAATTTTTGTTAGTTGTCCAGTGGGTAAGCTGGATGACCCGTGGTGCTGACCTTTTTACATATTGTAGTGTTTTATTAGCCAACCCCAAAGGAGCAGTGGTTTTCATTGTTTTTACTGGCCTCCGAATCTACCTTCATTCCGTACTGTAGAAACATACACACCAGGTAACTAAGTCGGATCACTCTCTACCATGAGTTACTACTCGCACTAAAGGAAAAGGATTTGTAGTTCTATCTACAATATTCTCCAAGCAGTGTTGTGGTTTATTTTATTTTTTTTTCCTTTTTCTTTTCAAACAGCCAGTTCAGGTGCACAGCAACTTTTTCTACATGCAGTTCCCAGGGAAACTGCAGAACTTGGAATTTGTACTTTTGTAAAGATATACTCTATGGGAATTGCAAGCAATATATCTATCTTAGTATTGTGTGTGCTAATGAGAGCCTCTGTGGCTCCCCCACTCTCAGTGTTTCCTGCTTAAAGAAACCAACATTGAAAAAGCCCTCTAAGACACTCTGTGTGTCACCAAATCTGTGTGTCACCATTTTTTTATTTTTTTGTCACGTGGTGCTATCTTTATTTTGTATAGTTTTAGGTCAGTATAGTTGTAGAAAATGTGAAATCTAATGGTAATAGTGAATTACAATTTTTTTCCTCTCGAATTTATAGCTTGAAAAGAGACCTCAAAAGCATGTGCTGGCAAACACATTACTGTATAAAAACATACCTGAGTCCTATTTGAATAATATTTTATTAGTGCTTTAGGAGATGTCTCCAGTTCTATATTTTGTTCACCCGTGTGCTTCTAGTAAACAAAATGGGCTTTACAAGATGGCTTTGGTACTGTATCTTCTGCCAGTAATTCGGTGAGCAATTTGGTGGTGAGTCTGTGCTGCAGGCCGCCAATGGGGGGCCAGCACTCCCCGCTCTGCTCGAGAACCGTGGCTCAGCCTCAAGACCAGCGTCTCGCAGGAGAACAGCACAAACCCACCTGAAAGAAAACAAGTGGAAAGACCAACCTCAGGCTAGGAGTTAAAGGAATAAAAAATAGATGTTTGCTGGTTTTCCATGCCTTTTTGGCTCTCAGAATACCAAGAATGGTGGGGGTTGGGGTTTTTTGTTTTGTTTAGGGGGGGGTTATTTTGAGAAAAAAAGAGTCATTCAGGCCCTTGTGTGTGATAGTCCCCGGGGGTGGTAGCTGTGCAGTGGCATCTCTTTAGCACACAGGATCTGTTCACGGGCGAACTGCTGCGCTGCACACCAGTGTTACTCCGTACAGGTCACACTCGAGTCCTGCTGCTCCGAGGAGCGGCTCCTGCTAAATCGGGTATACGGTATGCCTTTTTCCTGTCGAACTGCCTAAGCAGGGCCTGCTCTCTCCCTGAAGCACTTGCTCAACCCCGGTCAAAGCTGCGTGCCTCGGGGGGAGGCTGGACCCCAAGTGTTTACCCACTTAAATATGTTCTGGGGTTTCAGGTAAATGTTTGTGATTTTTTTTCCTTATATAAATAAGGTAGGTTTTGATTTTTTTTTTTTTTTTTTTTTTTTAAAGAATGAACTGCAAAAAATTTGTGTTGTGATTGATACAAAATTACGTTTGTGACAAGAAATTTCCAAATTAAGGACATGAGAGGTGAAGCTCAGGGAAGGACCCTCCTTTCACTCAGGCTTGGGGCCTTCTAAGAGGTCTCCAGAGCATTCTGTGATGTATCAGACAAGGTAGGAGGAGAAACACTTGGGGCTAGCCCCTCGAATGTTCTGGTTCTTGTCACTGTGTCTGTCTTAACCTTATTTACATGGCGTCCTTTGTATTTGTAAATGTGTTTAACTGGTTTGAGTTTACCAAAGAGTGACTTATCCAAAATTGTCTTTGACAAAAATATACATTGCTTTGATTGTACAGTTCAGGTTCAAACATTGTAATGGGACTGTTAAGGGGCAGAAAATTGATTGAGTTTCCCTCGAATAATTGTGATTCCACATTTTGCAAGTTCCACTTGCTCCCATTCATGTTGCTAACACTTTACCCTTTCCACTGCTAGCAGTGTTAAGAAAGAATTCTCAAGCCATAACACAGTACTGTAAGGTTCCACAGGGCTTCGAGGGAGGCAGCGGAGGCCAGCCCGCCGCTGCAGCCTCTCTGAGTGTGCGGGCTGCCGTGCTTCCCAGGGTGCATGGCAGGTGACAGGTTACTCCATTCAGATCGGGCAGCAGCAATTACTTGTGCCTTGTCACATGAGGATGTGCCAGGAGGATTACCATGACCACAGAGCAGAAACATTCTCTCCCCGAAGTTCACCTCACGTCTCTGCAGACGAAGCACGCTGTGTAACTCCTTAGAGCAACTCTTTTTGGAAAGCAAAGTCCCTATTTCTGTACAGTTTTAGGTTAGACGTTTCATTTATAACAAATGCAAAAATCAGTTAAGATTAAAGTGATATGTGAAGAAATCTTTTACAGTAAAATATATCCTGAGTTCCTATAGGTTTGTTCATAATTGAGTCTCTTCTTGAGCTACCTTTTCCATACATAGACAATGTGAAGACAGTGACAGCATCCTTTCTATAGGGTTTTACCTGTTATTACAAACTGTGAAGACAAAGAATTTTATACTTTTACTGTTTGTGCTTCTAAACAGTTATTTTCATTCTAATCAGTTCTCTACCCTCTAATTTCTACTAAAGCTGTAAATACATTTAGAAATTATATTTGTAAATACAGTATATGAAGACAAGTTAATTTTTTGGTCAGTGGCAAACCTCCCAGTTGGCGCTGCCTTGGCAGTTTCTTGTGGGTTTTTTTAACAGCAGAGAAAGGATACTGTCGGTTCACTGTTAAGCAGAATATACTGTAGAACTAAATTGATCATTTTTAAATCTTCCAGAGCATGAGTAGATGTCTTTTCTAATGATAGCAGTTATAACCAAGTCTTTGTTTTCCCTTAGCCCAGACCATAGGCCTGCATATTTTTGTGTGTGGTTTTGTTTTTACTTTTGTTTTTACAATCTAGACTCTAGGAACAATTTGCAGGAACACAAAACAAGGGCTGGGGGGGAAATCATCTATGTGAATGAGCTTTACTTTGAAGAAATCAGTGTATTTTATTTTAACAACTTTTTTCTGTTAGTTACTGTGATTTTTTGTTGTTGTTATCGTCGTCGTTGTCGTTATTGTTAAATTCTATAATGGTTTCCTGTGAAGCCTCCACTGAAAGGGACTCAAATATGCAACACCTAAACTATTTTCCAAGGGCACATGCCCCTTGAATGGTGCTTCTAGACTGGTCAGGGTTATTTATTAAATTTTATATATGAAAGTATTGGGGAACTATGTAAATTCTTTATATGAAACTATCTAGTTCATAAATCATAGATTTCATATTACTCAGTGCAACTGAACTAAAAGTTCAGAAGAGTCATTCACATTGTTCCAAATTTGTAATGGTTGCCACACGCCACATACGTCTTTTTCAGTAAGTGCCAGAGTGTTTCCACTGTTTCTGCCCAGTGCTTGACCTCTCAGCCCGGAAGAGAACCTGTTTTCTCTGGGTCTGCACAGACAGGGCTATTGTATCTTGATCAAGTCCTGAAGTGAGCCTTGCAGTAGATTCAGTAAACGGACCTCTTGCTGCCCCTCAGTGACAAGTATGCTGTGAATTCAACCATTGGACTTGCTGCCCAAGCCTTTGGTTGCTGCCCTGACTATAGTAAGAGGTAAACTTACCTGGTTTCTTTGAGAAGGACCATTTTCCTAATGTGAAAACCATCTCTCTCACCACTTTTATTAGTAGGGCTATAACATTTTCTTCCGTTATAAATGGTTGAGCAATTTGAATGACTCAACAGTGTCATTATCTTGCAATATAAACTGGTAACCTCACAACTCCACACTTCATCACCACATGAAGTAAATGAAGCTAGCTAAGCGGATGCTGTATCAACTAGTAACTTGCCATTAAGGATTATTTTATAGCATGAATTTAAGACTATTTATTCAAATGATATTTTACTCTTGTATTCATTTTGTTTTAGATTTGTGACATGAATATTTCAGTGCTGCTTAATTTTGTTCTGAATTCTTGTTTCTTGCTTGTAAATGGCTTTTTTTATGGTATAAAGTCAATGGAAATTGCTGTTTGTAAATAAAAATGCTGCTAGAGCGAATGTGCTGTGGTCTCCCTCTGTGTCTGCCCCTTTGGGCCCCTGCGTTTCACTGACTCTAACATCCGCAGTGTCATAGTTTCTGTAACCACTGTTTTCGAAAGGTTAAGATTTCATGAAAGCTCTTGTGCCACTCCGGCAAGGGGTAGAGGAGAGAGAAGCCGGTCTACTTCAGACCTTTCCTTGGGTGGCGAAGACTGGATTTTCAGGGGCCCTGGTGTGCCTCCAGGCTTCCCAGGACAAGCCCCTGGTGAATCCTTTCCCCCTGGCCTGCAGAAGTACCCCTCTGGCTCCCTTGAATGTGCCTTGTTCCGCCAGAGGGCTTGGAGCTGCATGTGCTGTTTTTGCTGTCTCCGTCGGCTCCCACAGCCTGTAACTCCTCCAGATTCCAGCTGGGTGGGGAGCCCTTCCCTCAGCCCTTCTAGGTCAGGCCCCTTTAACAGAGACTTGTATTGAGCTGTGTTCCTGCCCTTTGGAACACATTTCAATTGGTAATTGTACATTGACTAGTGAGGTTATTCAATTAATGTTTCTCCTCCTAGCCTGTGAGTTCCATGATAAAAGGCATCCTGGACCGTCTCCCTCACCTGTCACGCCAGCAGGTACACATTAAAGACTGAATGAAGGAGCAAAGGCATGTGTTCTGGGGGCGTCGAGCAGGGTGGGTGGGTGGGAATTAAACCTGGCTTGTATGCTGTTAGGGCCGGCTTGCTGCTTAGTGTAAAACCAGGTCTCTCTCTCCTTTCCCACTAGGGTTTCTTTACAGATGAGTGGGCAGTAAGCTGGTGCACAGTGCACGAGGTCATGTAGGAACCAGCTTCACTTGCTAGCTGGGCCTGGAGACTCCTCAGGTACTCAGGGCATGATGGAGAAAGTGCATTGACCTGCCAGTCTGCAGGTCTGGTGTCTAGCCATTCCTTTGGCTATGACCTTAAGCTCCAGTTTGTCTAAAATGATGGAGTTGGACTCCTGTGGCTTAGGCAAGTTGTGAGGCAGTGGCTTCTGATAGGTTTGTGATTTCCGTTAGACTGGAGAAGTAGCCCAGAGTCAAGAATCAGAGGCAAGCCTTTCCAACAGGGCTTGAGGAGTATTCCCAGGGCATGGGTCCTGGAACTAGGAGCAGCACCTGAAGCAGGTAACACTGGCAAAGGCGGTTGGTAGTTGCTGGCTCTTTCCATTTGTCCTGAAGTCATGGTCTGTCTTTACTTTTGCTTCTTCTAACTATAATACACACAGTTGGCCAATCCTGCCTGGCTTTAGGGATGTTTGTGATATCCTTTATAATGTCAGAGGACCACTACCTACCCCTTACTGCTTGATGGTCTGCATTTCTGTTTCCTGGACCATTTCCTCAATCCTCAATGACTTAAACATCTCGTGCAATGTTTTCCTTTTGTTTTTCACAACAGGCCTAACTTGCATACCTTTTGTCAGCAAATAGGGCTCAACAATTTTCAGAAGACAAATGGCAAAAAGAGTCCACCTCCAAGAAAAGAAATGCTACAGAACACAGCTGCCTGGGGGAGTGCCCTGGAGCCCTCTGGGGGTGGTCACTGTGCAGTGCGGGGCCAGAGGTGTGCAGCAAAGCTCGTTGATCCAGTTTTCACTGGCCAATGTACTATTACTGTGAAAGCGAGGGTGGAGGGATATATGTCTATGAACAGTGGATTATAATGCAGTCACCCGCAGGGTAACCTGCCCGAGACAGCAGGGACAGAATTGCCTCCCTTTCCTCTCCAACTCAGACAGCAAATAGGTGCCCTGCCCCTTGTCTTTGAAAGAGGTTGCTTACTAGGACTTCTTTTGTTCCTGCCTGTGCCCTAATGGAGTTTGGATCTAATCAGTCCGGCTGGGCCTCTAGGGGATAGCGACATTCCCTTTGGAGGCAGCTAGTTCAGCGTTGCTGTCCCCTCAGACTGTAGACTAGCCCACCTCAAGCTTGGCTGGGAGGCAGTGAGGTCCTGGCACTCAAAACATTTCTTCATCCCTTTTGGCCTCAGCCTTGGTGCTCTGATCAGCTCTTGAGTACTCTGTTTCCCAACACAAGATCTGCCCCAGTTGTACCCCAGCCCCCACCAGTGGCTGTGCATGGCCCAAGCGTGAGCTAGAATGGATCCTGCAAGTCTGTACTACCTTCAGGTGCCGTGTGTGTGTGTTCGTTAAAATGTGCAAATTGGGTAAGCCATTTTGAATTCTGCCCCCTTTCCCAGAGTGCTTAATGTGGAAGGGAAAGACCCTTACATGCTTGAAAGAGTGGGAAGGGACCACCCAGGCTATCTACTCCCCGCCTCTCAATACTGGGACTGCTCTATTGGTCTATGGGCATAATCTCCAGTTTCCACTTGTATTCTTCCTTATCCTGAGCCTCAAATCTGCCTCTCTAGCCAGGCCAGTGGGCTCAGTGGTTGAGCGTTGACCCCTGCACCAAGAGGTCACTGGTTTGATTCCGTCAGGGCACATGCCCAGGTTGCAGGCTTGATCCCCAGCCCGGGGGCATGCAGGAGGCAGCCGATTGATGTTTTTCTCTCTCATCAATGTTTCTGTCTCTTTTCCCCTCTCCCCTCCTCTCTCTCTAAAACCAATAAAAACATATTTTTGAAAATCTGCCTCCTTGGAGTTAGGCCCTTGGATCTCTGCTCTATTCCACAGGACTACAGCATGCTTGGAATATTCAGTGACAGCAGTCCTGTCTCTGTGCAGCCCTCTCTGGGCTTTTCTAGGGTGAATGTGACTCTGGGCTATTGTTTTTTAGAGGCTAGGCCATGGAGACATCCTTCTTTCTGCCCACCTCCTTCCACTCCAGGGCTTTAATGGACACAATTATGAGACATGTTTCTGATAGAATTTTGTTGGAACTGAGGTGGTGGAATCCATAACTTGGAAGAACACTTCTTTGGCAAACAAATTACTTTTGTGTGAGTGTTATTTTAACTGTCCTGTCTCTGCCAGATGTTCTATTCATCGCACATCCGGCTCCCTGGAGTAGTTTTCAGGTTTTCTGTTATTTTTTTAACCCCTCAGCTCCTTCACTCTCTCCCCTTACATCGCCACATGTCAATGTGAGAATTGAAAGACCCCTTTAATCTGGGAGCTCTGGGCTCTGCGAATGGACTCTGGCATCTGAATTTCCTCCAAGGCCTCACACCCATTCCCTCCATGAGCATCCTCTCCCTGCATGACTAATTCTTCTCTCCAGGGCGCTCTGGCTTTCCTGACTTCACAGGCACAGGTGCTAAATCAGCTGGGTAAAGAGATTCCTGTCCTCTGTGTATCATCTTTGCAGAGGGCAGGCACAGAGGTCATTTGCTAGCTTCATATCACTTCCTCTTTGCTCTTACAACATAACTGCCTCCCCATACTCTGGCCTCACTCACCCCTTCTTGCCTGCTGGATCCTGGCCAGGCTTCTGGTGAAATGGAAAAGGTGTTAGGTGTTCAATAACTAAACTACTAGTTGCCTTCTTTTCCTCCACCGCATGGTCCCCCTCCTCCCAGAAGGGGCCTCTAGGGATCTCCTGCCCCCAGGCTCTGTTGAAAGTCTCCACTTCGACTGCAGTCAGGAGGTGACCAGCTGCAGGTGCTGTGAGTGCTAGAGATATCTACCCCGAAGCTAGAACCAGCACCTCTGCCTACACTTTTACTTGTGGAAGAGTTTCTCTTCATTAAGTGTCAGGTGCTATCTGGATATAATAGTCTAAGCCTAGATGGAAAGAACTGGGTGGTGGTCTTCGTGGGGGCTCTGATGCTATCTCTCAATTGATAGTGTCAGAATTGAGTCAAATTGTAGGATGCCCAGCTGGTGTGGGGAAAACCATGCCCCCTTCACACATAGTGGAATCGGTGACCAGAACCTTTCCTTTCCTGTGTCCTTTCGGCCCTAGGAACACAAGCTGCTTCCTTCTATCATTACATGTTTCCTCAGGGTAATACGGTCCTTATACTTCATGTGCAATGATATTATTTGAAGATAGACTCTGACTAATTAAAGATGCATATTGTAAACCTTAGGTCAACCATGAACATTTTGAAGCATTTACGTGGTTTAACATACTGTACTGGATTGTCAGCAGTGTGGCACCATTCCCCTTTCTGTGGTCTCCCATATGTCAGAGTGTGGATGCTTAGAACTACATTTCCCATCATTCCTTGCCAGAAAGTGTCCTCATTAGAATCTACCAATGAAAAGTCCAGTTGATTCTTGTTACTTGCAGTAGTTGTACCCTATCAAGTCATTGTGAACACTAATTAAACCATTGTTCCTAGGGTACATACAGGGTTAGGTTTCTGTGAGCCTCTGCACATTATTGTGACCCAATCAAAACTTAACCTTGTTTCATGTGTGCCGCTGTTTACAGACACCTTGATGTATATTGTTAATTCCTTATCATTGAGCTCACAACCAGCAGCTCCAGCTCTAACTCATGCCTGAACCAAGTTTATCTAACACAGGCGCTTTCTCTGTAAGGCACCTCACAGCCTTCCTGTGCTTGGGAACACTGGACAGCGTGTCACCACTATGCCTGGGGCTCCTTTTAAACAGAGAAATCACTAACAAAAAGCTCAGAAATGCAAAAAATGTATTAAATGGGTTGCGAAAAGGATACTTGTTTACAGGATGAGAGCTTGTTTGACCTCTGCTGGGAATGTGCACCTGGGGCCACTCGAATTTTTTGCTTATCTGTGAATGACCTTGAAAGTGCCATGAGTATTAATTTTTGGATTACAAATCAATTTTAGCGGTAGGCTAATCTACAAATACATAAACCATAAATAATGAGGATGGATTGTATGTCCATTTCAGCACGCCCACTTCTTCTAACATCTATCAGGACAACTCAGGTATTTCCACTTCACTGAGTCTTGGCCATTGCTTTTTGCCAGGCTTCTAAGAACTACTCCTTGCTGGGGTGTTAAATCCCATGTCCAGAGAAAATGTCCTCAAGTCAATGAGCTCTTGCTTATCTAGTCTTATATTCCCACTTCCTTGATCAAGTACCAGCA